GCTGTAGCAACATTTCACCTCTACCTCTTGCAGAACCTCTTGCCTGGTACAGAACTTGCCTGGTGCCCACTGCCCGATCAGGCTGCAGGCTTCAGGCTTCATCAGAGTGGGGCTCATCCCACCTTTTTCTGGGCTCCCTGTCCTTGAGCCCTGGCACTGGGCTTGCCATTTAACACTTATCATGACACACTTGACAAATGTGCTGACGTCTGCCGCAGAACAACCATGATAACTGCTGCTCATCCTCGGCTTATTGTCACTAAATACGATTATGCCAACATCCATGCCCGCTGCACCCTGTTAACCACACTTGTATTTAAGACTTAGGGGCATTTCTGTTGATACATCATTTTCATTTAATAGATTCGAGTGGGCTCAATTTTCCAGCATTGCTGGGTGCTGCTCCTAATCTTCCTACCCTAGGAACAGGCATGTGAATGACATAAACATACGCAGGACTTGTGAAGGTTGGGGGGGTGGGGGCTGAGTTGACTGACAAAATGATCAAACCAATGGCTTTGGTGAAATTGATGGTAGTTAAACTGGGTGCATTAGCTCCTATGATTACCTGATTCCTCAAGTTATACCTGATAGGTCATGTTTAAAAGGAATGTTCACCGAAAGGACAGATAGATCAACCATTGGGGCTAATGCCCAACATTACATGGGGACTCAGGGCTGACATCCAGCAAGGTCAAGGTGGGAGGAATCATGCTCAGTCTCACCTGAACCATTTGAACAATTTATAATGACAACCAGAAGAGATGGAATTAAATGTCCTTTAAGTTCAGAATCTATGGGGCTTCTTTATACTAGAGGAAACAGGAAATTATCAATGAGAACTGGACAAACAGTCAAGACCCTGAGGTTCTATTCTATCCCAGCTTTGTTAGTAATGTGTTGTGTGAATTTCACCAAGTCACTTGCCTTTTCTGGGCCTCAGTTTTCCCACTTGTACAATGCAAATGACAGCCAAGAACGGAGGGCATTAGAATCTCCTGGAGAACTCTTGTTAAAAATACAAATACATCAAGTCTCCCCTCTGAGGATGCTGATTCAGTAGATCTAGGAGGGGTCTGGCATCTCTGTTTTTAACCAGTGCCTTGGTGGATTCTGATGCTGACAGTCCACTGGACTGATGTTTGTCATTCACTAGATTAGATGATGTCTAAATGCTATCACATATTAGAATGAGGGAAATGGTCATGTCGACAGTACTTGTAGCCTTTTGTGTGTTAGCCATACAAACCCACACTGGTCTGTGCTGGGAAGCATGCCCCTTTGTTCAAACCACCCATGTAAAAATTGGTCCTGAAATGCCAAATTCAACTTCTGCGCATTCTGATTTGTAATAAGAAAAGCCCCAGTCCTAATGAGCACAGATTGTTGCCTATGTCTCTTAACCATATTTTAAGACTCACCAAGCCCTGCACAGACCCACAGAATCTGAGTGACAGCAACACAAGACACCCCAAAACATGTACTCAAGAAGGCGGCACAGCCAAACATGTTTGTCTCAAAATATCCAGGTGAACTGACCCCCCGTCTTCCTGTGTCCTAGAAAATCAGCACCCCCACGAGTGGGGAAGTTTTTGGACAACTGTCTGAATGGTACCTCGGACAGCTCCATGCGCTCAGCTGCAGAGACCCATGGAAAGCAACCTACCCCACCACACCACTCCCCGCCTCTCCCTTCTGCATGTGGTTCTTCCCCAGGGAAGACAGAGCATCCTGGAGGCTGGCTTTGGCCATTTGGGGAAAATAAAGAAGAGGCAGGAAGAGCAAAAGGCAGGCTGGTCTGGATGCCACGTTTACACTATTGGCTCCAAATAGCTCCCTGGGAGACCCTTCCTTCTGTTTAGGGTTCCCTTTCTTCCTTACAATCACCAATCTGGGCATAAAACTATTGCTTCCAGAACACCTTCCACATGCATTATCACAAAATCTTCAAAATAACCCCTTGTGGGAGTTATTCTCATTTTACAGATAATGGAACTGAAGCTCAGAGAGGTTAAGTGATCAACCAGAGGTCACACAGTCGTGGATCAAGCTAAGCTCTCTCTACTATACTGCTAGCTCTTTCCTTACATGGTCTGAGACTTTGGGGATAATCACAATTTCTGGAGACACAGTTGTGCCCCTCACCACTGGGGTAGCCTCTGGCTGAGCAGATGTATCAGGAAATGAGGTTGTAAGCGCTAAGGCAGAGAGGCACGTGTCAAACTGCTCACATGCCCAGATAAATGCAAAATGCCCTGGATTAAGAAGCCAAAACCCAGGGTTGAGGTTTCTGGTAGGGCCACTTACCAGATAGGTGACTATGGGCAGGTAGCTTGGTTTGCCCTGCTTCAGTTTCCATATCTGCAAAATGGGATCCAGATCGCTGCGCTGGCGACCTGGCGGAGTTGAGAAATTCCAGGGATATCTTGTGTGTGACAGGGGCTTAGTGTAGGCACAAAGCTGTGTGCCCCTCAGTGGGCTTCTGGAATCTGGGTAGGTGGAAGGGAAACCTGTCCGCTGAGACACCTAAGGGAGGAAATGGACCCTGTAAGCTTGGGGTCCTTCCTTGTTTTATCTTAAGTTTAAAACAAACAAACAAACAAAAAGCAGTGGAGGAAGAGTGGTGCTTCAGGGAGTTGCACCAATGTTCCCTGGTGTCTTGGCGAAACCGCTGCATTTGCCCCAATCCCAATCAGAGAAGCATGTAAGAAAGGGGAAAATTTTCCCTCATTCCTCTGGGAGAGTGGCCTGGGGGTCAGCTCCTTACTTCAGTCGGCCAAAGTCCCGGGCGATGCGCTATGGGCGCGCTCGCCCGCATCGCACCCTTACCCAGGGGCACCCTCACCCGGGGGCATTCTCACCCAGGGGCACCCTCAGGGACGCTGGCTCCCTTCTTGGTGGCCGCCTGTGTGCGGTGTTTGAGCTGGGCTAAGGGGGACTGGGAGGGTCTCTGCCTGAAAGAACCCAATACATCTTCCCCTGGACCACTTGGGTTGAGAAGGAGGTGAGCGCAAAATTCCACACCTTTCTACCCCGAGGGGCGGACCCCGGTTCCTATCGGTGGGAAACCCGAGACCCGCGAGTCTTCAAGATCTTGTCCCAGGGCGTTACGATAAAATGTCGGCAACATTTCCCCCGTACTGAGCACTTGTCCTGTCCCTTATCTTCATATTTATGATTTTTTTAAGTCCTTACGGCGCCCCACGTAAAGGGTATTTTTCCCCATTTTACAGATGAAAAAACTGAGGCTTAGAGGGGTGAAGGGACTTACCTAAGGTCACGCAGCAAGTAAAGGGTAGCTCTAGGATTAGAACCGAGGGGAGTCACTCGAAAGGTTCCTGCCCTCGCTCTACTGCCTTCTTCCCGGAACGCGCCTCTCCTCTCCGAGTGCCCGCCCCAGACAGCGCAGTCCCGAGCAAGCGGAGAGCCGTGGCCGCTGGGGCCACAGTGCCTTGGGGGATGGGCGCGAGCTTCTCATGTATTCTAGGGCACAGTTCCGAAAGCCCTGTCCGGACCTTGATACCCAAGGGCCCCTGGGTGGTCGTGGAAGTTGGTTTTCCCGGGGACCCTGCTCTGACCCTTGGCCACCTGGAAGCAAACCCATAGCGCGCGGTGCACTGCCTGGCCCTAAACATCGGCGGGGTGCGCCCTTCGCCAGCCCAGGGGACGCGCCGGGAGCCCTCGAGGCTCCTACGTGGGAGAGGCACAACTTTCCCAGGTTTTGGAGCCGGCGCTCTTCCACCCCAATCCCGCCCGAACTGAAGAAGTAAGAGGTGCGGGCGGCCCCGCCATTGCCACGGGAGCGCAATGAGGATCCTGGCAAAGTTGGAAGCCAGGCAGGAGCTGCGTTCCCGGGGGCAGAGCCCTCCCAGCCTCGGGTCCCCCGCCGGTGGCTAGCAAAGCCAAAGAGTCGGCCATTACCACGGGCTCACAGTTGCGATTCAGCCGGAGAGCCCGGCACCGAGGCAAGCTGAAAGTTGAGGTTGGGCAGGTGCACCGATCCCCGGGGACTGGCGTCCCCCAGCCTCGGACTGCCCGCTGGGGTCAGCGAGCGGTGCCAAAGGGTCCGCCATTACCGCCGGCGCGCAGCTCGGAGCCGAGCGCGGTTCAGGAGGGACTGGGGTCCCTGTAAAGTTGGAGCGGGGCGGGCGCGACGCCCCCCGGGATCGGAGCCCCCGGCCTGAGGCGGCCCGCTGGGAGGTGAACGAGGCCGCCCGAGCTAAGTTGGGACTCACGACAAACCCCGAGGCACCCGCGCGCACTAGGGGCTCACGGAGGACCGGGGAGTCCTAGGGGACAGGGAAGGGGCGCGGGACGCCTGGGCCGAGAACTCACCTGCCGCCGAGCCGGGCAGCGCCGAGGCTGCCTCTTCGCGCTGCGCACCCGCCCGCCCGCCTCCTCCTGCTCCTCCTCCTCCTCCTTCTCCCGGGCGCCCGCGGCCGCCGCGCTCCGGGTGCCGAATCCTCCGGGTCTGCCGCCCAGCGCGGCTGGAGGGCGCCAGTGGCGCCCACTCACCTCCGGGTAGGAGCCGCGCGCGTCCCTCCCCTTCCCCTCCGCTTTGTGCCTCTAAGATCGCTCCCCACCCCCTCTCGCCTAGCCCC